TGCACAATTCATAATAGCTAAGTTTGGAACCAGCTAATATGCTCATTAGCAGATAAATGGATAAAGAAAATGTGGTATGAACACACAATGGAGTACTACTCTGCCATAAAGACAAATCAGAGTCATTTGCAGGGAAATGGATGCACCTTGAGACTATAAGTTTAAGTGAAAGAAATTAGATACACAATCTTAAATATACATGGTTTCTCTTATATTAGAACCCCAAAGTATAAATAAAGAGAAAAATAAAAGATAGATCTTTCTAAAAGGGAAAGCAGATCAAGACATGAGTGAAGGGAGAGGAGGGGAGGTAAAGGAGTTGGAAGAGTAGTTAAGATGTATTATGCATGTATACTGATTTCACACAAGGAAAGTAAACATTATTTATTGCAAATGTGAATAAAAAAAGAATGGAATCAGAAGATGAATAGAGGTGAGAGGGAGTGAATGGAAAGGAGAATTTAAAAAAAAGGAATTAAGATGTATTAGTACCTGCACCAACTCCTCCCAAGGCATGTAATCATAATTATTACAGCTATGTATTAATAAAATATACTGGCATAGGAAAAGACTTTATGAACAGATCCTCAGTAGCATGGGAAATAGCACCAAGAATCAACAACTGGGATATCATCATATTAAAATGCTTCTGCATTGCAAAAGAAACCACCAATAGAGCTAAGAGACAACATACAATGTGGGGAAAAAATTTTACCAGCTGTTCCTCAGACAAAGGTCTACTATCTAGAATATATAAAGAACTCAAAAAAAATCAGACCACCCCCAAATATAAAACTAAGATTCAAAAATGGGCATCTTAAATCAACAGACACTTCTCAAACAAAGAAGTAAAAGCAGCAAATAAATACATGAAAAAATGTCCAACATCACTGGTCATTCAAGAGATGCAAATGAAAATAACACTGAGATTCCACCTCACCCAAGAAAGAATGGCTGCTATCCAGAAATCAACCAATAACGAATGCTTTAGGGTTGTGGGGAGAAAGGAACCCTTCTTCATTGTTGGTGCGAGTGCAGACTGGTGCAACCACTGTGGAAATCTATATGGAGATATCTCAAAAAACTAGGATTAGAGGTCCCATTTGACTCAGCTATTCCTCTGTTGGGTATCTTTCCAAAAGAATCAAAGCACAACAACATATGCACATCCATGTTTATAAGTGGCACAGTTTATAATAGCTAAAACTTGGAAACAGCCCAATTGCCCATCAGTTGGAGACTAGCTAAAGATGTGGTTTTTCTATAAAGTGGAGTACTACTCAGCCATAAAGAATAAGAAACTAGTCATTTATTGGTAAATGGATGCCTACCGAAGCTATACTGTTAAGTGAAATAAATAGGACACACGTGTAAATACCAAATATTTTCTCTAGTGTGAAAAACTAAAAGGTTCAAGTTGTATAAGTGCTATTGTGCAATAAGAAAAAAAGGGCTAAAGGAGTAGGGGAAGGGGGAAGGGTAGGGGAAAGAAAAAATATGAAAAAGGAAAAAATGGAAACAAAGTCTTTGTGAGTAGGGAAAGGTGCAGGGGGTGAAGGGAGGGCAGGGGTACATGGAAAAAATAAGCACCAAGATACATCATGTACAGGTACAAGAGACCAATGATGAATGTAACTGTACTGTATAGCTAAAAAGTACCAATAAATTTAATGAGAAAAAAATTTCTTTTGAGAAATAAGGTCATACAGAGCAGAAATACATAACTTATGGCCTACTTAGCAGATTTGTCCTTTCTGTTTCTTTGGGGCTCGTGAGTGTCATTTTTCTTATTCTGATCTTTTTGTGTGGGAGCCCGGCCATGGCCCTCTAGGCATTTGACATTTAAAAGGAAACTTCTTCACCTCTACACTCAAGGCATTGATACAATCTATGTAACATTTGTTACTTTTCTAGGACTCTGCTTGTTAAACTTGTTTTTTGACCCTGCAATGGGAGAAACTCAGAGACAGCCACAGATTTGATGTTCTTTGCAGAGTCAGAAAATCCGGTCTTTGCATAAGATAAAAACAATTGCTTGGTGTTTTCTGTTGTTGTGTGTCATTAAAAGCTTCCTGTTGATGTGAGCCTTTAAAAGGAGCTATTTCTGTGAAATAAATCAGACTTCTCTTGGTCTCCACTCAGGCTTGAGTGTTCTTTCCTTTCTCAATCCTGACTCCCCAACTCAGGCATCTTCGTGTTGTGATGGCTGGGCCGCCACATTTTTGGTTTCTTCTCTCCCTACCCTCCCCACTGTCAAAAATAAATAAACTAAAAAATGAAAAAACAACAAAAAAATCAACTAGACAAAAAAATCAACAAAATCACTAAATCAAACCTTCAAACAAATAGACATGATAAATATCTATAGTGTTGCACCCAACAACCACAGAATACACATTCTTCTCAGCAGCACATGGAACTTTCTCCAAAATAGATCACATGCTATCCCATAAAGCATGCTTAAGTAAATGCAAAAGAATCAAAATTATACCATGCATATTTTCAGGTTATAGTGCAATAAAACTATCAAAAATATCAGTGGTAAAAGACATCACAGAAATTATTAAAACACACGAAAACTAAACAATACCCTCTTTAATAATCAATGAATCACAAAAAAATCAAGAAATTAGTTCATAGAATCAAACAATAAAGCTAGTACAACATACCAAAATTTATGGGATACAATGAAACATTCATAAGAGAGAAATTTATAGCTGTGAATGCTCACATTACAAACACAGAGTGAGTCCAAATAAAAAAAACCTAATAATGTCTCACATTCCTAGAAAAACAAGAACAATCCAAATCCAAAGGTAGTACTACGAAAGAAATTACAAAGATCAAAGCATAAATTAATGAAATGGAGACTAAAAAAATACAAAGACTCAATTAATGAAATAGCTGGTTCTTTAAATGAATAAATAAAACTGACAAACATCTAGCCAGTCTTACCAAAACGAGGAAAACGAAGACCCAAACTATTGCAACTGTAAGTGAAAAAGGCAAAATCACAACAGACTGTGCTGAAATCTAGACCGTTAGTAACTAATGGCCTCTGATAAAATGGAGAATTCAGAAGAAATCGATGGAATCCTAAATACACATGAATTACCAAAGCCAAACTAAGAATATATAAAAATCCTGAATCATTCAGTATCAGACAATGAAATTGAAATTGCCTCTTTTTCGCAGTGCTTCTTGATATGTCTATTCTTTTCCCTTGTTTTCCTAACAATTTGCAAACCCTTTGGCTTCTCTCCTAAATCAATCCCATTTGTGTCCTGGGCTGGGTTTTACCATTTTATTATACCTCCATCTCGAAATCTGTGCACTGGCTGGCTACATGTGATGCCAGCCCATAGACATTACACGCATCACAAGCGATGACATTCGAAGGAGCAGATATGCTAGCTCGATCCCTTTGTGCAAGTGGAGACACTACAGAGGCCCCAGACAGATTGTAACTTCAAGAAGGCAGAGCCAGGTCTCGCCTCTACTCGGCCTCCTCAAAACCGGGCTCCAGCAACAAATGACCCTTCCTGGGGCTGTTGCTAGTGCAACAGTTTACGGCTGGGGAAGTGCAGGGCTGTGAGGGTGAGCGGCCCAGAGGGACCCTGAGGGAAATCCTGTGGAACAAGGAAGCCCAGGCAATGGGCCCTCAAGAAGTCCCTCTCTTCTGCAGGGTGTAATGGTGCACAAACTATGCTGAAGCTGCGCAAACATTAACCAGGAGCTTGAGAGCTCCCGCCAACAGCTCTGCAAGGGGATCTTCAGCTCCCGCCTGCAACTTCAGGTGATCCAAATTTGTGACCTGCGCGCGCGCGCGCGGGCGCACACACACGCGCGCACACGCGCACGCACACACACACACACACACACACACACACACACACACACACACACAGAGCTGGGGCTATTTCTTGGGAGACCCCCACAGAGCCACACAGCGCACAGGGTCGTTGTCAATGGGCCTGACCACAGGTCGCAGCTGTCTATTCTCATTTACAATTCAGAGGAAAAAAGAGAAAAAAACGAAAATAAAGTGACAGAACGGGAAATGGCAGAGGCCAAAAGCGCCAGAGTGAAGAGGCCCGAGAGGCCGGAGGTGTGCAGAGGCGGAGCC